GCAAAGCTGAGTGCTCCTTGGCAAGCAATTTTCCTCCTTTTGAAGAAGAGCTTCGGACTCAGCACTGGGCCTAGCTGAGAGTGGGAGGCACCAGGGACTATGAAACTAATTACTGACTGTTACACACAATGTGCTCTTTTCTCAGGGATACTTGGGGTCTATGTGCTCAGTTATTGCTAAACATGTTGTCAGTGAATCATGCATTGGGTATGAAGCATGCTCCATTTCTCCCCTTTCTTATCCCTCATTCCCTGGGATTGGGCTTCTGTTTCTTCCACACCAGAGAGTCTGCAACTGCCAAGGTGCATGATCTCTTTATTACTACTGCAATGGACACTTTAAGAGAACTTACTTTATACATAGGAAAAATTCCCAACATACATGAAAGTTAAAAGAACTTCTGTGTACCCATCACGAAACTTCAAGATGTATTGACGTCTTGCCCATTTTGTTCAATGGACGTTCTAGATCCACGCCGTAGGGAAGCCCCTCATGGTCTCTGATCCTGTTGACCACATCTTCCTCGATGTCTTCTCCACGGTGACATTCTTTTCTAGTTTTCCTCCAACTCTGCTGCTCCATGCCTCCTTCTGCTGCCTGTCCCTTAAATGTTGGTGCTTCCCAGCACTCTGTCCTGCGCTTCCCACACTCTTGCTGGGTAAACTCATACTCTCGCGGGGCCTCACATACCTTGTCTGGGCTGGTGAGGCCCACATTCCAGTGAGCCCAGACCCTGTTCCCAGGCTCAGACCAGCATGTCCAGGAGTCCCCCAGACACCTCTCCCTGGCTGTCCCACAGGCATCTCTCGCTCACCATGTACAGAGTTCATTCTCCTGCCCAAACCAGCTGTTTCCTGTATTCCCATTCATCCACTCAGCAATAAATGTCTGCTCATATTTATTAGATACCAATAAGTGTGTAAGAAAAAAATTCAAGATTTTGGAAGAAGCAAAAGAAATGACTGCTACATGAAAAAGATGGACAACAGCAAGTGTTGGTGAGTATGTGGAGAAACTGGAACCCCCAGACATTGCTGGCGGGACTGTAAAATGATGGAGCTCTGGCCCACCCAGAACCAGCACCAAGCCCATAGAGGACACTAGATGTTACACTGGTGGCCTGAGGGGGCAGGGGATTAAAGTGTAGATGCTCTGATAGATGAGTGGTAGCGTGGCCTGACTTGGGGATTGGAGGTGTGCAGGAAAGGAGGGAGTGGGGGCTGGCTTGCAGGGCCTCTGAGGGAGGGCTCAGAAGACGACGGCTGCAGGATGCCTGGGCAAACTGGGCACAGATCCCACAAACTGGGCAGGCTTTGGGAGCTCCTAGCCAAGCTTGGTGCAGAGTGCCCCCCTCGCTTGGGCTAGCGTAGCCACAGTGATCACCTCTGTGTGTCCTCTCAGGTTGTCCTGAGCCTCCTGGAATTGTGACCAGCCTCAGAGACAGGGTGAGGTATTGGGAAAATGACAAATACCAGATATCCTGCCAACCCTGGCAATGAGAGGAGGCGGCTCCAGTTGTAGTAATGTGGTTTATCAAAATAAAGACCCACAGCATTTCTTAGTGCCATGCTGTGATTCACATACAGAATTACAGATTGTGATACGGGTGAGGTAAGAAGGGGTGGCCACAGAGAGAGAGAACAGGGGGCAGATTCTCTATGTAGCAGGAATAGTGGACAGGTCTTAGTGCTGGATTGAAAGTATAGGGTGGGAGATTGGTGCCAGGTTTCTAGCTGACAACTGTGTCAACCAGAGTACATTGCCCACACCCTTCCTAGACAATGCACCCACCCCACGAGGAAGACTCCTGAAGGTGTCAATCCAGTCCGGCCTGGTTCCTGTCCCCTACCCACAAGGATGGCCTCCTTGCTCCCCCTCAATGTGTCATAAGGTGCGGAGGCAGCACAGGGCCCTCTAGGGGTGTCAAGGGAGGGGGTCATTGTGTGAGAAAAGGAGTAACATCGTGGCCTTTCTCTGGATAAGCCACCAGGGGCTCAGCAAGGCCTCGGCCCAGCTCCCAGGGAGGGTCTCCTGGCCCAGCCTCCACGTGGTGCCAGCCTTCGCCAGGGTGGGTGGGCAGAGGGCAGGGGCCAGGACCTCTTTTGCCCACCTGAGGTGGGGCACTGTCCTGCCCACGAGCCTGACCCCAACGACTCGGGGTCTGGAGGGTGGGCAGGCAGCACGGGCAGTGGGCAGTGGAGCCTGAGCAGGGCAGGGTTGAGCCCGCGGGCGAGAAGGTGTGCAGGGTCAGGGCCGGGAGAGTGGAGACACCCTCCTGAGCCTTGGCATCTTTGGGACAGGATTCTTGGGGCTGATTTTCCCCTGGGTGGGGAGCAGGGAGCCTTCCCTTGCAATGACTCTATCTCCCCACCCTCCCCGAGTCCTCCCCTCGGTGCCAGGGCCCCAGAAAGGGCGCCCTTTGCGCTCAGACAATGGAGCGGTCCTCTCCTTCCAGAGGCCAGCTGCATCCCCTCATTTTGCTTGGCCCCTCCTCCCCAGGGGAAGGCAGGGCTGGAGGCCAGGGTCGCCAGGCCAGGGAGGGCTGGGAAACGACTGTGGCAGGGAGGAGCAGGGCCGGCAGTGAAGTCTGCATGCGAGAAGGGCCAAGAGCGCATTTCCCGCCTTTCCCTGCCCCAGCTCCTCGCCTCCTTTTTCTGCAGCGGACAGCGGGGCTGGATAGAGGGGTTACTGCCAGCAGCTCACCCCTGAGCTGAGGTTTCTGCCTCCGACCTCCCCTACTGTCAGGAGGGTTTACAAATGGAGCTATTGAGGGCGCTGGTGCCTGGCTCCTGGCAGAAGCTGCCATATCTCGGGGCCACCCAGTCCTCATCTGCCCTCAGCCAGCTTTCCGCACTGTCTCCTTATCCAGTGCCTCCTGGCACCATGGGCCCCTGCTTCCTCTTTCCAGCTCTGGGCCAGCCCCTCTCAGCGTCCTCTGTGCACTTCTCTTCTTAAAAGGCTCCCTAGCTTGGAACTGGGTCCATTTCTCTTTTGCGTATCTCTGAGGGAGCTCAGCTTCCCCTGTGTGGGGCCTCAGTGACCCTCCTGCACGCCCACCCCCAAGGCAGCTCACTCCCAGACCTTGTTTCCAGCCCGCTCTCTTCAGAGGTCAAGCCCTGGTAGCCAGTGGCCTCCCAGACATCTGCCCCTGGCTGTCTCCGAGGCCCTCAGGGAACCTTGTTCTGCATCTCAGAGATGGCACTATGGTCTGCTTGGCCTGATCAAGGGTGTCATGGGACCTGTGGGGGTCAGAGGAAGAACTGAGAAGAGGAGGAGATGGCCACGTGCAACACTCCTGTAGCCTCCATGTGTGTCTATCAGACCTCATGTGGCAGCAAGCTCTGAGGGCTGCTTCCGTGTTGGGCCAGGAAGAAACCTCCCAGTGCATGTGTATAGAGGTGGCTTCTGGGGCCAGAAAACCCTAGTGCTGTTGGGAATGGGGTGAGGAGGCAGGCTTGGGGCCAGCTGGATGGAGAAGGCTGGCTCAGAAAACTGGGCTATTTGGGAGTCATCAGTGTTGTACCTCCTGTGATAAATTTTCTCTAAGAACCGAGCTAAGCTCCCTTAAGAGAAGCCCTTTCAAAAAAAGTTCTTTTTGGCCGGGTGCGGTGGTAGCTCACGGCTATAATCCTAGCACTCTGGGAGGCCAGAGGATTGCTTGAGGTCAGGAGTTCGAGACCAGCCTGAGCAAGAGCAAGACCCCTTCTCTACTAAAAATAGAAAGAAATTAATTAGCCAACTAAAAATATAGGATTACTTGAGCCCAGGAGTTTGAGGTCGCTGTGAGCAAGGCTGACACCACGGCACTTGAGCATGGGCAACAGAGTGAGACCCTGTCTCCAAAATAAATAAATAAATAAAGTTCTTTAAAAGGGGTAGGAAAGTTTCTTGGGAGCCAGCAATGGTGGGGGGCAACAGGTAGAGCCCTGCACCCCCAGCTCCCTGAGGGTTCTGGCCTTTAAAAGGGAGGCTGCCCTGTGGCCTTGTGGCCCATACCAGTGGGACTCTGGCAGGACCCACCTCTGACCAAGGCTGCACTTCAGGCCTGCGGCCAGCTCCCAGCCTTCTTCCCCATGGCCCGGCTGCGGTTCTTCCTCACAGCCCATAAGGCTTAGCCCCGCTCTCTCCCTGATGTCCTGGGATTCAGAAATGGCTCCCCCTGCCTCGTCCCAGCTTTCTGCCTCAGAGACCTGCCACATACCCTTGGTTGAGTCCTAATGCCGGCCAGGTTCGTTCATTTAGGGACTTTCAGAGGGGGCCTTTGCCCTTGTCTCCTCCTGCCTGGGCCGTCTGGAGCCTGTCGGGGCTCTGTAGCCACTTTCTCTGGGAAGCCCGCCTGGCTGCCCTGGCAGGGTGTACTCACAAAGCCAGGTCTTTACTTGTTCCAGGGCCTCATTCCACACATTTTATTGTCCTAAACTGGGATTCCTCACCACGGTGACCCCTGTGCCCAGCACTGAGCCTGGAACAAAGTGGGTGTTCAGGCAAAGCCCGCTGTGTGTGTGAATGAATGGGGACTCCAGGGATATTTGGAAGCTCCCGGCTGAGCTGTCATGGATGCTGGATGAGGCTCAGCAGACGTTAGGTTCTGCAGTGTTCCAAGACTTATGACCAGAGGCCTGGTTTTCTCAAGAAGTTTGACCTCTGGATGAACTTTAAGACAGCTCTTGGCAAACAACTGTCACCCAGAATTACCCTGGCCACCTGGGTCACTACTCTTGTTTCTGCTGCAGCCTTCATCTCTGCCCCACTCAGGGCTCAGCCTGCTGGGCTTTCATGGGATCCGACCCTTGCCCTGTCCCGCCCACCTTCCTGATGGGGTCCTGTTCTCAGTCTCCTGGCATTGCCTGCCCACTCCCATGTCGTGCTGACAACTCCCAGGAACTGGGCATTTCTTGGACTCCTCTGGTCCCCATGGGTGAAAGCAGAGCCTGGCACACCACTTTCAGTGTACATGGCATGCACACATATGCCCCCACCCCCGAGCCAGAGAGAGACACTGCTAAGCAGGGGACCACATTTATTAGACTCCAGCAAGACTACGGTACACGTTTCATGCAGATTAAATATGTGCCTTCACCTCCCCTGGGAGGGTAGCACTTTCACCGCCAGCTCCTTCATTGGCATGTCAAGAGTGCGTGTCATGGGGAACCCTCAATATATTCTGCATGGGGGACGGTTGGGATCATGACTGGGGGTGGAGGTGAGACAGTGGGCAGCTGAGGGCCCCTGGGACCTTGAGTCTTCAGAGGTTCAGGGACCACAGGACCTTGGTCCTTTGCTGGTGCTGGCACCAGGGAATCTTGATCTTTCAGAGGCACTGGGATTACAGGGACTTGATTCTTCACAGGCTCAGGGACCACAGGACCTTGATTCTTTGAAAGCTCTGGAACCAGGGGACCCTGATCCTTGACCAGTGCTGGGAGAGCGGGGCCTTGATTCTTCACAGGCTCAGAGACCACAGGACCTTGACTCTTTACAGAACCATGAACCTTCAGATGCTCTGGGGCCACTACACCTGGATCCTTGACCAGCTCTGGAGCCCCTAAACCTCGATTCTTTGCAGCCTCAGAGACCACAGGACCTTCATTCTTTATAGGTGCTATGACAATGGCACTTTGATCCTTCAGATGCTCTGGGACCACAGGACCTTGATCCTTGACAGATGCTGAGACCATGGGGTCTGGATCCTTAACAGGTGCTGGGACCACAGGAACTTGATTCTTGACAGGCTCAGGGACCGCAGGACCTTGATCCTTCAGAGACTCTGGTACCACAGAACTTTGATCCTTAACTCTTGCTAGAACCATGGGACTTTGGTTCCTTAGAGTTTCTGGGATCAAGGGACCTTGGTCTTTGACGGGTGCTGAGATTACAGAACCTTTATTCTTTAAAGGCTCCGGGACCACAGGATCTTGATCCTTGACTGGTACTGGGATCATGGGACCTAGATCCTTCAGAGGCCCAGCGACCACAGAACCTTGATCCTTTGGAGGTCCCAGGACCGTGGGGCCTTGATCCTTTGGAGGCTCTTGGACCACAGGACCTTGACCTTTCTGAAGGCCTGAGACCACAGGACCTTGATCCTTGTCTGGCTCTGTGGCTACAGGACCTCGATTCTTACTGGAATCACTGGCAGGTTGGACCAGGCTCCTGCAAAGGAGAGAGAGGTGGTCACTGTGAGGGTAGAGCTCAGGCCAGGGATGGGGCAGAGCACAGATTGCCTGATAAGTCTTGGCCCAGGGGAGCCTGGACCAGGTAGCTCTTGCTGGAGAGCCAAGAGAGTCTGATTTCTATGTTCTTGGTACAGACGTGGGGTGAGGTGAGGGGCAGGCTCAGGAATTGGTCATTCAACGTGCTTGCCAATTGATTATAACCTGCACGTGGCACAGGGGTGGTGCCCTGGTGACAATGGCAGTACTGTAGCTGGGCTCAGACTCGGCCAGTGGGCATCCCAGCAGCCTGTCCACCCCACACTCCATCTAGCCCTTACTTTTTCCTCCAGGACCACGGGGCCCATCCTGGGAGCCCCATCCTAGCTGTCCACTCAGATGACGCTACAGGCCAGGGGGCTCTTTCCTTGTTGTCATGGCCTCCCGAGGTTCATCTCCTTCCCTGACCCTCTTTTTAAGGGCTGACTGCAGGGAGGGGCAAGGGGTACATGGCATACCAAGAGAGGGGGCAGTGGGAATTTCCCTCTCCCCCTTCCCTGCAAGGGGAAAAAGCATTTTTGTCACTAGCATTGTATAGAATGGCCAGCACATGGTGATAATAAAATGCAGACTGCCTTCTAGATTTATTATTGCTTTGAAATTCTCTATAGACAGCGCCCCTCATTATTGCCTGCACCATTCCCACTGCCCCCACCCTCGGTAGGTGACTGGCTGGGACTCCCCATTCAGGCAGTGATGAGGCCTTGGTCCCCTCACTCCATCTCTATTTCCAGTTCCTTCTACTCTCCTTGCCCCTTTTTGCCCCCACTAACTCCAAGGCTCCTGGGCTTATTTCCAGGCAGCCAAGAGTCCCAGCCTGTCACCAGAATCCTCAAGGGCTGCTCCAGCTGCCTAACTGCAGCCGTCCTCCCCATTCCCCGGCCCGACCACAGGTGGAGAGCATGTGACAACGCTGACACCCGAGGGCAAACATTGCCACAGTCGGACCTGGCCCGTCTGGGTTTAGAGTGCACACCCCTTCCTTGCAGGTCAGGTTCAAAGTCGCCGCTCAGGAGGGGTGTTGCTCAGCCAGCGTCATGACCTACAGCACATGCTGCTTTCCAAATCACTTCTTTTCATAGCTCATTTCTGCAACACAGCAGCCCTGTGAAGCACACGGGAAGGATTTTATTAGCCCTGCTTGTCTGATGACAAAAGGAGGCCCTTAGAGGGCGGATGACGTAGAAAGTGAGGGGACCCACAAGGCCTAGTCTGTGTCTTTCCACTCCTAGAGCCCATGCTCTTCCGCCTGTAGTCCTGGCACATAGTAGGTGCTCAGTACAAGGTAGCTGTTGCTATTACTCTTGCACTTGTGGCAACGCAGTCTTTCAGCATTTTACCAGGTACTGTCAGGCTTTTAGAGGAATATGTCTCATATGCTTCTTAAAGCTGCTTGGGTAAGACCTCTACTTGGTAACACTTGTTTAGCTCAGCATAGCTTAATCTTGCTGGGCCTCAAGCTTGTCATCTGTTGACTGGGTATAATGATATTTACTCAGAAATTTATGATGTTTAGAGGTCACATATGCAGAGCACCTTGTACTATGGTATTATTAGGTAGTATTACGATTATTTTTCTATTTACTTAGAAATAAAATTACACATATTTGGACTGTTTTTATTCTGCTATGTCATCCTGATGCAGAAGCCTTTGATTGTATTTAGCACCTGGATACCACAGTGGCACAGGCAGCCTGTCCGCCAGCCCCCTTGCTGGCGGGAGAGGGCCAGGGCGGCTCTGAGCCAGACATGGAGCAGACACGGAGCACAGCTGCTCTGGCCAGACGGACGCAGCCGGCTGCCGTCAGCAGGACCTAGTGTTTGAGGAGAGAGCTAGGCGAGGCCATGAGAAGCATGCAGAATCCAAAGATGGCATTAAACACCTCCAGCCATTGGTGGCTGGCCAGAGAGGGAAAATAAAAACCCAATTCAGAATAGAGTCTAGCAGGAAATTGATTAGATATGTCTTCTCTGGTCCTGAGGAGACCTGGGTGGGGTCATCCTGATGGGGCGATCTGGCTGAGGGGGGCAAAAGGTGCTTAACCAATCTCAGGCTTTGGGCTGCAGAATCGGCCCCTTGGCAGGACATGAACTCAGAGTCCTTGCAGGCCTGGCCATCATAAAGGCCAGCCAGGCTTCCCTGGCTTTGTGCAGCCTTGGCCCCCAGGCCACGCCCCAGTCTCTGTTTAATGAGCCCCTCAGTCAGCTGTGAGCTAACCCCAAATTTGTGTGCATACATAACCTCATATTGCTTCAGTTAGTAAACTTCTTTCTTTAGTAGGTAAATGTCTTTAATCATGGGGGAGGGGTAGAATTAAGATTAGAAATGATGAATTAAATCAAACCCAAAGTATTACCTTTTTAGAGTATTAAGTTTGGGAAAAATCTACATAGATTTAGTTCAAAAGTATTTGTAATATTTTGGCCAGGCGTGGTGGCTCACACCTATAATCCTAGCACTCTGGGAGGCCGAAGTGGGTGGATCGTTTGAACTCAGGAGTTCAAGACCAGCCTGAGCAACCCTGTCTCTACTAAAAATAGAAAGAAATTAACTGGACAACTAAAAATATATAGAAAAATTAGCTGGGCATGGTGGCACATGCATGTAGTGCCGGCTACTCAGGAGACTGAGGCAGGAGGATTGCTTGAGCCCAGGAGTTTGAGGTTGCTGTGAGCTAGGCTGATGCCATAGCACTTACTCTAGCCTGGGCAACAGAGTGAGACTCCGTCTTCAAAAAAAAAAAGTATTAGGATAATTTAGCATATTAGAATATCTAAAAAATTATCTTTGTTATTCCAATATAAAATGTGTAATGAAATAATTTAGACAAGATTTAAAGTAGAAAATATGAGAAAGTTCTACAAATTTTATAAATAATGATGGAATTTTTATGACAATCTGAGTCACCGTATTTTTAAGCTTAATTTATTTTAAACTACTTATAATTTAATTTAAATTATGTAAGAAAATTAAGTTACGAAATCCTCCTTAAAAGAGATTGTTAAATTTCACTAGATTTTTTTATATTATTGCTTTTATCAATTAAGCATTCACTTTTAAAACCAAAGCAGCCTGGATGGTTTTTCTATGCACAAAACATTCCTCAAGAGCTTCATGAAACCCTCATTGACACTGACTAGTTGTCACTTGGTCCCACAGTTCCCTGCATCTCCCCATCTGCAAAATGCCCCACCACCTCCAAGAAGGATGGTGGGGGCTGCACTCCCCATGTGTCCATGTGAATGAGGCAAAGCTACCCCGTCATGGAAGAAGTCAGGCATGGCTTGGGGAGCAGGAACAAGCTGCACTCAACCCCACTCAGGCCACAGGCCAGCTGTCCTTGGGCATGGCCCAACCTGTACAACCGAATCTGGTGCCCTGGGCCAGCTGCAAATCTTCTCAAGATAGCATAGGACACAGGCCCCTGCCACCTCCCAGCCTGTGTGCCCAGAAAGCACTAACCTCTCAGAAACTAGAATGACCTGCTGGATTTATCTTGGCTTCTGTGCTGCTTATTGTCTGAGAGGTCTTGGGCAATTGCTCAACCACAATAGACCTCAGTTTCCCCACCTGTAAAATGGGGATAACAATATAAATGTCAAGGACTTATGACAGAGGATTGGAGGATCCCGTTAGGCAGGGATCTGAAATCATAGTTCTTGATATTTGTAGAGTTCTTGGGTGTATTACACAAATAAGTCCTTTACTGTAACAACTGTAATAACAATTTACTAAATGCTCACAGCTTCGTTACTTTGTCTCTCTCGACCCTCACGACAGCCCTGGGACCCCACTCCTCTTGCACTGGTCTGTCGTGCTGCTTTACATGCTCCCGGTGCTGGTCTTTGCTTCACCCCCTTTTGCCCTTCAAAGCGCTGCCTGTCCTTGAAGGCTGAGCTCAGCACCACTTCCGCAAAGGTCTTGATGCCTGCGTCTCTCCACACTGGCTTCATGCACGCCCCCCTGCAGCGCCATTTCAGTCTCTCACAAACACAGGTATCTCAATCACTGTCAGATTCCTCGTTAGACGGTGAGCTCCCTAAAAGCAGGAGCCATCCTCCTCACCTGTAGCCCTAATGCCCAGCACATGTCTGGAACAAAGAAGCCAAACAGAAAGATTTACAAATTACTGCTGCTCACACCTGGTTCCTCCTCTGTTCCACGGCCCCAGCCAAAAACGCAGAGTGGCATTTGATACCACGCTCTCCCTCAAACACGCACCCAAACCAAGCCCCGTCTATTGCAGCTTCTAACGTTTCTCTCTTGAATATTCCCACGTCTTTCCTTCCCTCTTCCCTTACCACCTGCTATGGCATCATCTCTCTGGGCCACTGTCACAGCCTCCTACCTGGCAGCCCCTATTCCCTCTATTCTTCCTCTCCTCCAATCCATTGTTCATGCAGAAATCAGAATGCTCTTTTAACAAAACAAACTTTATCCCATCCCTTCCCTGCTTACAAGCCCTAAATGGCTTCTCCTTGCACTAAGAGTAAAGAATAAAATCCGTTACTCGGCCCCACCTAGCTGGCCAGCCCACTAGCCTGCCCCGCCCTGGACCCTCCCTGGCTTTGTGTCCCCAGCACCTCCCTGCCCCGGGGCTTCACTCTGTTCCTTCAGCATGCTCAGCTCCTTCCCTTTTTACAGCTTCTTCACATTCTATTATCTGCTCCTGGAATAGTCTCTTGTTCTCCATTCACCTGGCTAGTGCCTCCTCAGCCTGCCTCTCCCAGCTCCCTGGGGCATTGCCTGGGGAAAGGCCTCCCTGACCCCACAGTCAGGGCCAGCCCCTGCTACAGGATCTCCTAGTCTCTGGCACCTTCTTTCCTTTCCCTTATCTCAGCTAATCACTTGCATTCTTTTGCATTAATGTTTTCCCTACTAGACCGAAGTGTTCAGAGGGCAGGGACCAGGCAGTTTTGCACATTATTGTATCCTCTGTA